CGTGTTAGCTGATTTCTTCCTTCTATAGATGGTTGCCAATTCGTCAGTTTTGCAGATGGTAAAAAAGTTATAATATCCTATTCAAAAAACGTTTAAAATATTTGAAATTTACTATTGAATAAGGTTTTTTGTTGAAAACTAAGTAGTTTATATCTAGCTACGATCTATTATAGCACCAAAAATTGTAGTTGAAAAGGTAAGTTTATGAAAAGGAATTGATGAGTGGCAATACTGTAGTAAGCAACACTCAGGGCTCCAGTAATCGACAAAATTCTGCGTATACAGACTGCGTTTAAGTGTGCGTTCTGCTTTCTTGACTAATTTCAGCTTTAAGTATAAGTTCTGCGTTCTTGACTAATATCACTTTAACAGCAAAAAACGTATCAGCCTATACGTAATCACGCCGCCTAATGCAGCGTTTTTGCAGCATTTAGGGCCGGTTGCTCAAAACCTGGTTGACACTAATCACCGGTTAACATCGTTATCGACGTTTTCGACTCCATATATATAACACGGTGTCGGTAACGATGTATAATCGGTGATTAGTGTCAACCAGGCTTTGAGCAACCGGCCCTTAAACTGCCACATTTAGCACTTTCGAACATATGTTTTCGAAGAGCGTTCATGCTATCGCATTTAGCAAATGTACATTTACGCCAGTTCGAAATCGTATGCTTTTGACAAACAGCCGTGTTCCACGATCCAGAAAATAAAGGTCGCGCCATTCGCGGACCGCTAACCCTCTCTTTGTCGATTTGACAGCATCCACCCATTCGCTGACGTCACACAATACTTTTGTTTACAATTTCTGGTTCGTGACATTTTAGGTTATTTCAACTTTACAGATTTACAAATTCGAAAGATTTTGAGCGTTGTTTTGTTTTTTGTGAAAACTTATAAAAAAGTTATAAATCAAAGAAAAAAATGAGGTGGGCAGTGGTTAATTGTGCTAGTGTTAGTGCCAAAGGATCTGGGTGCAGTTTTTTTTACTTTTCCGGCCGACATTGAGTTGGTGGAAAAGTGGATCCAGTTCTGCCGGAGACCAACGGATTTCAACGCCCG